GGGGGCTGCGGAGGCGGCTGCTGCGGGGGCTGCTGTGGCTCCAGCTGCTGCGGCTCCACGGGGTGCTGCGGCCCTGTTTGCTGCCAGCCCACGCCTGTCTGCGACACGAAGTGAAGACCTGCCTCTGCCCTCTCCACTGAGGCAGCCCCAGGGAAGGCCTCCATCTGCTCCGGTGGAGACTTTCCAAGACACTGTCCTGCCTCCTGTGTTATTTGTAGAGGAGGCTAGTGCTTCAACGACCTTCCAAGACAGTGTCTTCAAGGCCTTCCAAGACAGTGTCTCCAAAACCTTCCAAGACAGTGTCTCCAAGACCTTCCAAGACAGTGTCTCCAAGACCTTCCAAGACAGTGTCTCCAAGACCTTCCAAGACAGTGTCTCCAAGACCTTCCAAGACAGTGTCTCCAAGACCTTCCAAGACAGTGTCTCCAAGACCTTCCAAGACAGTGTCTCCAACCTTCCAAGACAGTGTTCTTGCCTCCATGTTATTTGTAGAGGAGGCTAGTGCTCCAACACCTGCCCTGTGTGTCAAGGACCCGAGAACAGAAGCCACATTGCTGGTGAAGAATTAAAACGGTCCCATCCAAAGTGGTTCCCCGGAGCTGAAAGGGTGAAATCCCCATGGCTTGATTTTCATGGAGTTAAATGTCTGGCTGGTCACTAGAAGGCATCTCTTATTCAAGGTGTCTTTGGGACTGACTCTCCTCTTCAGCTTTCTGCTGGTTTTGAGATGGAAAAATTCCTCTTTGTTAACTTCTTAATAAATTTGAGCAAGCTGGCATAACCACATTAGTTCTGCCGCCTCTTCCTTCGCCCCCTCTGGGCCAGAAAAATTTACTCTGGTGTCCACGACTGGGCATTTGAAATGCTGGTAGTGGATCACCTGTATCAGAACCCCCCCAGGGGGAGTTAAAATGGAAACTCCAGAGCCCTCCTTGAGACATGCAGAACCAGCATCCATACATGGGTGGCCTGGAAATGGGTGTTTCTAACAGGAACCCCAGATATTCTTATGCACTAAAGTTTGAGAACCATATGTGGGGACTGAAGCTTCCATGTGCTACACAAGATTCACTGGGGGGGGGGGGGGGG